TATATATATATATATATACTGTGTATATATATAATTTAAACTAAAAAACTTAAAACCTTTCTAAAAAACATAAAGATATTTGTTATAAAATTATTACTAAAATTTTGTTATGCAAGTTTTTCTAATTTATATCATCTAGATTTATTTTCTTAATAAAAAATGTTAATAAAACGCATTCTAGCGTGTGTAAAACATTTTGGTGATAAGCAGAAATGATTTATTGTTATATTTCCTAAATGTTCTTAGTTACTACTATTCATCACAACGCAGTACGATACGAACCTCCTGCTCAAGATTCTCTCATTTGTCTTGCCTGTTCTTTTCTGTTTTATAAAGTATTGCATTTTTATTATACGAAGAGACAGTGTAAGTCCAATAAGAATAATTCTTTCGAACATATTGTTGTAACATTGATACAAAACAAATTGTATTTTAACCATATAAGGAAAGATATTTAAAAAAAAATGGAATAATAGGTGAAGCAAATGCTGAAGTACAATCGAGACAACTGGAAATTGGTTAAAGATAAACTGGAAATTGGTATTATAGAGAAATACTCTTATATCGCGAGACTTCTCTCAATAATTTTGATGGGTAAGAATAGTAATGTGTGTTACCGCCTCATATATGTAGTGATATATAGCTTGTGACAAAGTTAATATCAATATGCTATGTGTATGCGGTATGTTTGAATGTATCTTCGATATGTTGTTTGAATTAGTTACTTATTTAGATATAAGTTAGATTTAAATATGAATTAGATTTTTCTCTCAGGCTTGTGCTGTTTTGCAATAATCACGTTCACAATACTACAATTTCTACCGCTAATTTTTGATATTATATTACCATTGAATGAATCACGTTCCTGTCGACTTATCTTTATCACGGAATATTTCGTCAACCAAGAGAAATATATATACGCTATATTTTTACACCATATACTAGCCATATCCGTAGCAATAATCGCATTTTGTAACGTCAGTTCAACATTCTTGATGTATGTCCTTCACACATGTGCGCTGCTTAATATCGCAAGGTAATGCTAATTGCGCTTGTCCCTGTTTGTGAAATTGAAATATGTTTAAACATATTTATACAGTTATCGTATAGAGAACGCGATAGAGTGGAATATGTTAGCGATCTCCAGCCCTGCAAGAGAGTATCTCCTTTACCGGAGGATTGTACATGCGGTTACTATTCATCGAAGGGCCATCGAGTCAGTATTTTAATTTTTTTTATTGCTATAAAATTTTTTGCACCCTGTCTTTCGTGTTATTTATTATCCATTAGAAGCGGTTGACTGATTTTGAAACCGTTTTATTACCACGTTTAATACTAAATTGCTTATTATTATATATTTTTATATTAAGTAATATCACAAATAAAATGTGGTGTAAATTTACAATTAAATACATTTAAGAGCTTAAAGTACGTTACAGATTTGCAATTTGTTTGACACATACACAAATACGTGTGCGTTTGATGAACACATTTAGATTCTTAAGAATATATCTCTTTAAAATATGGAACTAAACACTGTCAGGATTAAACGTGAAGTCAGAATCATATTATTTAGCACATGGAAGCATAGAAAAATGAATATATATCAAAGTTTGCGCCTATTTATATATTGGTAATGTAACAGTTCTAATACTTAACGTCTCGTTGAAGGTTTATTAATTTTATCACATCTGAATTTACGGTATTATTTGCTATTCTGATCGTAATTGGCGTCAGCTCTTTAAGTTTAAATCTTTTACAAGTAAGCAATATCCTTTCTTACCTATTTCATTTAATTGACTTCTCTTTAAGTAGCATTTTATCGTAGTTTCTTCAATTGATAACATTAACGAATAATATCACAGAGATAGTGGTATTTGCTTTCATGATTTGTCTTCATTTGGTTTATATGTTCATCGCTAATTACGCGGGACAAAAAATAACAGATCATGGAATAAAGTTGTTCCATGCAATGTGAGTACCGCGTTTTACAATATTTTTAGCTATATTTATACAGATACCAATTCTCATATAGATAGATCTCTTGAATGTGATTTGAATCGATTGTAAATTTAACATCAATTATATCGCCAAAACGTGTTTAGCACGTTTTTCTTTCTAGTTCACAACTTACTTCAACTAAAAATTGCAGTTATAATGGAAAATGGTATATGACACCATTGCATACGCAGAAAATGTTATTATTTATAATGCAAAAAGGAACGATATATGTCAATATAGGTATATTTACTGCTTCCTTGGAAGGTTTTGCTACGGTAAAATTAAAAGTTTTTTTTAAAAACAAAATGTAATGTTGGATTAACGTAGATTTAACGAGCAGTTCAAGATATGTATCCTTTTCAGCTCGTGAATGCGGCAATATCCTACTTCACAGTGATTCATTCTACGCGACAATAACGAACTAGGAAGAATAATTAAATTAACATAAAAGTGCGCATAACAATAAATATATGCCTTATTAGTTTTTAAGATTTAATGTACTATATAAACATAAATTCTTTCATTCTTGATATTTCCAAATAATACTAATAAGTGGGCAAATCTTGAAAGAGATTGAAGCTTAATCGAATTTGAGAGCAACAAATCAATAATCAAACGTCGAAACCGTTTTATTTTACAGATCACGGATGGGCTATTAAATAATAACATGAACGCAATACAATTAGTTAATAAATAATTATTAAATAATAATTAGGTAATTCAATATTATTTTATTAGATATATATTTCCTCTGATTTTATTAATTTTTTTATTTGCATACTACCCAAGCTAATTGTAAATGTTGATGAAAACTTCCCGTATTTATGTTCAACTTAACTAAAACGATAGGAATGTAATACGATGTTAAACTTGTTTATGTTAAATTCGTTTCGTAGTTAAATTCAATTAGCAGAATCTTTGGTGGATAAGAAGAGTTTGTATGTCATTTGGTACATCATAGAGCATATACGCGGCTATTCATATGCATCAGAAATAAAATGTAGAGCAATATTATCCCGTAATGAGACAAACAGATTTTGCAGCAGTTTAAATAAGTTTTATCGAGTAAAACTATTGATACTATTTATTACTATCGAAGCGGATCCCGTATATATACTTACTTACTTTTGCAATAAGTAAAGTTGAGAATTGCAAGAAAAAAGAATCTCTGTCTAAAAAATTATATACTATCTTGCATTCGTATCGATGACGAATACTAATATGTCTGACAATACAAAATAAATATTTTAAAAATTAACTTTTATTTTGTTATAAAAAAAAATAAATTTAAATTTTGTTGCATCAAAATTTTGTACTTGCCTCAAACCACATATATACTCAGTTGCATACTGTACACTTTGTTACAGGCAAAATCTTATAAACATTTATTTTAATACGTATATGTATATATTAAATGGATCGAGCGCGAACTCATTTCCACTGCGCGAAAATTTTTATATCACCATTTTTGTTTGATTTCCTCAAATGTACAATAAAGAAATGAAGTATTATACATTATATATAATAGTGAATAGATCCGTAAAGTTTCGTATTTTTCTCAAAATATAATCCATTTAATATTGTATAGATTCACCAAGTGTATGAGCGCAGAGTAATGCTTCGTATGATGCACTGAAAGATATTGAAAGTCTTTTTACTATCGAGATAAAAAAGTCATAACTGCGTTTGTGCAAGAATATGCATTAAAAATATATTGCTCTCACAAATTGAGGTAATTTAGACTAATTTGCTTTCATCTATATCAAAAAAACATTACTCAATTATTAGAATATAGCCGTCTTTACAATAACTATCGACGCACGAATATATCGATCGTTGAAAATTGACGGAGAATGTCGCAAGAAATAATTCGAGAATTCAAAGGTTCGTCTTATGGTTACATCGCAGTTCTCGTAAAATGTATACGACAGAAGAACGCTATTATAAAATCAGTCGGGTACTTCTTAAGACTCTTGGTTTGTGGCCTTATCAGCAATCATATTTCTCGCAAATACATAAAGTACTGTGTGCCAGCCTTCTTTTAACATTTATTCTTGTCCAGGTACATATGTCGAGTTATACAACTTTCAAACTTTCTAGTTTTCAAACAACGTAGTTATAGAATAATGTATCTTAATCACGCGCATTGAGATAAACATATCTCTCTTTATCTTTTCTAATCTGCTATTATATACATATATTTATATAATATATATTTATATATTAATATAATTATATAATTTGTTATGTATTAATGATAATAATTATACATAAATTTATATAAGCTTGAATTATCTTTCTTGTCTTTCATGATATAATGTTTAAAACAAATTTCGTTTTATATAGCTTATGTTCAGGTATTACACTAAATACTTACAATCATCCATCTTATATATATACCAGACAATCAATCCTAAAGTTGTTGTTTTTTCTCAGTTGTTGGTACTCGTTACAACGCAGTACAATACGAATCTTCTCCTCAAAATTCTTTCAACTGTCTTTCCTATTCTTTTCGTCACTGTAAAGTATTGTTTTTTTATCATACAAGCGGATAGTGTAAGTTCAATAAAACAGATAGTTTATTCAAATGTTTCGTTATAACATTTATAAAATAGATTGTATTTCGATTATTGAACGAAGGGCAATATGGAATGAACAGGTAAAGAAAATGTTAGAACAAATGCAAGATGATTGGAGATTATTGAAAAATAAGGTGGAAGTTGACATTATAGAAAAATACGCTTATAACATACAGTTTTCTTCAATGATTTTAATAGGTAAGAATATGAAATATTATTATATATTATATTCTAGTGTGTGTGAAGCTAGCATATCATTTCGTGGAAGATCATAAATAATTAAGAGTTCTGGCTTTATTTTCAATAGTTCTAGAGTTCTTGATAGTTTAAACAAATAATTCTGGCGATTAAACCAAAGAAAATGCCTCAGGACAAACTGATATGCCAACTTCACGCAGCATATTACTTTGTCTCATTTATTTAGCTAATCTCTTTTTATTTTATACGATAAATCATAGTGGTTGAGGCAGAGAACGTATCTAAAACGATTTTCTATTTAATTCACTATAATTCGATTTAAACCAGATCTAACATTTTTTAGTGATTGGTTTTTTTTGCTTGTTCTTGGGTTTCATACTTCAATGTTTGCCATCAATTCTTGATGTTATATTACCATTGAACGAATCACGGTTCTATCAATACAGAATCTGTTTTGTCAGAGGATTATATATGCGATTCTTATTCATCGAAGGGCAATCGAGTGAGAATATTTTTACATTTTCGTAACAACACACATTATTTTTATATTTTATTTTTCTGTTTATTAAAAAGTAGTAATTGATTCTGAGATCTTATCTTTATCATATGTATATTTTTGTATGATTAATTGTATTTCTTCGATATATGTACGAATTAAATGAAATTTACGGAATAAATTGATTAAAATTTTAAATCAAGTATAATCAAGAATTAAGTGTGTTTGTTACAGAAAAATGCTTGCTTATTTATAATTTTCATATAATCTATGATTTATAATTTTTTTTTTAAAAGTATATGTAAGTTTAACAATATAATATTTTTATAAAATGTAAAATCTCTGGCAACTCTTATCGGTTAAATTAAATTTATATATTGCTCATATATAAGAGCATGAGATAGAGAGAGAGAGAGAGAGAGAGAGAGAGAGAGGGGAGAGGAGAGAGAGTTATTTTTACTGAATATGTGAGAAAGCACATTTATATCGATAATATCATAGTTCCAATATCTAGTTTCTCATTAAAGGTATATCAATTTTTTTACATCCAATTTTGCGACATTATTCGCCATTCTGATTATTGTTGGTGTCAGCTCTTTAAGTTTATGTCTTTTTCAGGTAAGCAATATAATTTCTTATTCATTTTGCTTAACTGACTTCTCTTTAAGTAGAATTCTGTCGTAGTTTCTTCAATTGATAACATTAACGAATAATATCACAGAGATATACATATTTGTTTTCTTGATTTGTATTCATGTGGCTTATATGTTCTTCGCTAATTACGCGGGACAAATAGTAACAAATCATGGAATAGAGCTGTTTCAAGCAATGTGAGTATCGCGTTTTACAATACTTTTAGAGCTTTATTTATACAGATACCGATTCTCATATAGATAGATCTCTTGAATGTAATTTGAATCGATTATACATACTTTTCGAATACTTTCAAACATGAAATTAATTTAACATTAATTAATTATATTGCAAAACCGTGTTCAGTGCACTTTTTTGCTAGTTAACAATATATTTTATTTTAACGTTCAAAAATTGCAGTTATAATGGAATGTGGTATGCAGCACCATTGCACACACAAAAAATATTATTATTTATAATGCAAAAAGGAACGGTAAATATCACTTTAGGATTCGGTACTATATTTGCTGCTTCCTTGGAAGGTTTTACTACGGTAAAATTAAAAGTTATTTAAAAACAAAATATAATGTTGAATTAACGTATTTCTAGAATTGACGAACAGTTTAATGTATGTGCTTTTTCAGCTTGTAAATGCGGCAGTATCCTATTTCCTAGTGATTTATTCTACGCGACAATAGCAAACTAAAAAGGATAATTCATTATTTGTCGGATACTTTAAATTAATATAATAGTGCGCAAAAATAAATATACACATATATATGCATTACTAATTTCTGGAATATAATGTACTATTTAAATATATATTCTTTCGTTCTTAATACGAGGACTATTTGGAAATCTACCTCCAGTTAGCTTGCAAAATAAAACAAGAAACAAAAAAAAACATTTTATTGTACACCAAAGTTATTTACACATATACACTACTTTTCGACATAATCGCCATTCGAATTTAGGCTCTTATAGCGTGGTATCGTACTTTGATGAGAGCAACAGCTTGTGCCGCCCTACGACAAATGCTTCAATTCGCATAGAGATTATGTGAAAACGTAGTGTACATATGTAAGTAACTTTTACGTATAATAAAATGTTTTTTTTTTTGTTTCTTGTTTTGTTTTGCAAGGTTACCGGAAATTGATTTCTGGATAGAGTCCTCGCATTTCCAAACAATGTTAATAAATAGGCAAAACTATAAAGAAATTGATAGAGGTCTAATAGAGTTTAAGAACAATATAACGATAATCAAACATCGAAATAGTTTATTTTAATCATGAATGAGCTATTAAATAATAAGATGCAAAACAATTAGTTAATAAGTAGTTGTGTAACTCAATATCTTTTTTATCAAACATATATTTTTTTTATTTTATTATTTTTTTATTTACACATTACCTAAGCTAATTATAAAAATATTGATAAAAACTTGCTGTATTTATGTTCAATTTAATTGGAACGATAGGAATGTAATAAGATGTTAAACTTGTGTATGTTAATGCAGTAGATCCGTTTCGTAGTTAAGATCAGCATAATCTTGAATGGATAAGAAGAATTTGTATATGTCGTTCGATACATCATAGAGCATATTTGCTGACATGCAAGTGCATCAGAAATAAAGTATAGAATAATATTATCTCTTAATGAGAAAAGTTTTACCCCAATCTAAATAACTACCATCGAGTAAAACTATAGAGTAAATAATCCATTTAATACTGTATAGATTCACCAAGTGTATGAGTGCAGAGTAATGCTTCGTACGATGCACTGAAAGATATTGAAAGTCTTCACTATCGAGATAAGAAAGTCACAACTGCGTTTGCGCAAAAATATGCGTTAAAAATATATTGTTCTCACAAATTGAGGTAATTTGGACTAATTTGCTTTCATCTATATCAAGAAAACATTACTCAATTGTTGGAATATAGCCGTCTTTACAATAATAACCGGCGCGCGAATATATCGATCGTTGAAAATTGACGGAGAATGTCGCAAGAAATAATTCGAGAATTCAAAAGTTCGTCTCACAGTTACATTGCAGTTCTCGTCTAAAATGTATGCGACAGGAGAACGCTATTACAAAATCAATCGAATACTTCTAAAGACTCTTGGTTTATGGCCTTATCAGCAATCATATTTCTCGCGAATACATAAAACGCTGTTTGTCGGCCTTCTCTTAACATTTATTCTTGTCCAGGTATACGTCGAGCCATGCAACTTTTATATTTTTAAACAATGTAAATTATGTAAGAGTGTATCTTAATTTCGCGCATTGAGATAAACACTCTCTTTATCTTTTTCAATCTACTAGTATATACATACATGATAATTTCCACGAGGTATTAGCATGTAGCATAGGATTAATCGCGTTGTATGGTACGTTTATAACAATTATGATATACATATGGCATGCATGTGCACTACTTAAAATTGCAAGGTAAGTGCAATTACTTTTTAAATACACATTGTCTTAAAACGAAAATATAATTAAACAAATATATATTTAAATGAATTAATAGTTATCGAATAGAGAATGCTATCGAGAAAAGTGCGTTAGCGATTCCTACTTTTGAAAGACATTATCTGTTTTATGAGAGAATTGTACATGCGGTTCTTATTCATCGAAGGGCAATCAAGTCAGTATATTGTTACATTTTTGTGTTACAACATTTGTTTTATATCTTTCTATGTATTAAAAGTAGTGATTGATTCTGAAACCCTCTCTCGCTCTCACTCTCACTTTCGCCCTCGCTCTCGCTCCCTCGCTCACGTTCTCTCTCCCTATCTATCTATCACTCTATCTATCTATCTATTTATCTATCTATTTATTTATCTATTTCTGTCGTGTATTTTTGTATCACTAGTTGCATATCTTTGATATATCTACGAATGATATTTAAATCACAAATCGATTAAAATTTAAAATCGAGCATAATCAATTATTAAATATATGAAATAGAGAGAATATGAAAAAGATACTTGCTTATTTATAATTTATAATTTTTTTTCTCAAAAACACCTGTAAACTTAACAATATGATATTTTTATAAAATGTAAAATCTCAGATAGCTATTGCCGATGAAATTATATTTATATACATTCCTCGTACTGGATCATAATATTTATTGTAACTGAATATATATGACAAAACATATTTATATTGATAATATCACATATTCTTCGTTAAAGGTTTGCCAAACTTATTGCATCTAATTTTACGGTATTATTCGCCATTCTGATTATTGTTGGTGTCAGTTCTTTAAGTATCAATCTTTTTCAAGTAAGTATAATGTGTTTTTCTATTTTGTGCTGTTGACTTTGCTTTTTGAATATACATTCCTTAGTTTCTTCAATAGATAACATTAATAAACAATAATACTGAAGATGCATGTATAGTCACTGTTCTTATTGTCATACATTTAAGTTATATGTTTATTGTTAATTACGGCGGACAAAAATTAACAGACCATGGAATGGAACTTTTCAAAGCCATGTGAGTGTGTATGTGTGTATAGCATGTCTTACATACATACTTTCAGGATTATATTTATACTATGGTATTCTATATTTCCATACAGACATATTGTTTGTATTCGATTTAAACTGATTGTATTATTATTTCGATACTTATATATAAACGTGTAACTATTAATTTAACATAAAATTTTATCACAAAAATGTCAGGATTAACTTTTTGCTTATCTGTAACTGCTTCTATTTAAATCTACCATGTTAAAAATTGCAGTTATAATGGACTGTGGTATGCAGCACCATTGCATACACAGAAATTATTATTATTTATGATGAAAAAAGGAAATATAAACGTCACTTTAATATTTGGTGGTTTATATGTAGTATCCTTGGAAGGTTTCGCTTCGGTAAAATTAAAATTTTTTTAGTAATAAAATCGAACTTTGATCTGGATTTAACGAGCAATTTATTTTGCCATTTTCAGCTTACGAATGCAGCAGTATCCTATTTCATGGTGATGTATTCTACGCGATAATATGGCATAAAGAAAAATTTATTATAAATCGGGTAATGTATCGAATTAGACAATTGTGCTACATCTGTAAATTATAGAGTTTTTGAATATAACGTGTAGCAAATTTATAGTATGCATACAGGGTATGGTATATATATACAGGATATAATATGTATACACGCAACGAGCGCTCACTAAGTACATAGCGTTATTCCTTATAACTGAGTCGAAAGTCTTGAACAATTTTTTTTTATAACGCTTAATAAAGGAGTTAAAATTAAGTAAAGTCTGTCCAATCAGCGCCGATTTTTAGTCGGGCGCACGTCGATGAGCCGCGCGTGATAGTGTCTGCGAGCGGTCCGCCGCTACGGCGGCGCAGTGGCATTTTTCCTTCGCGCATGCCGCTAGCGTGCAATATATTTACGCATTGTAATAATAGAAATAATTTTTTTTGTACTAAAATTCATATTCATATAAAATATAAAATAATTCAAAAAATACTTAATGAAAAAATACTTTATTATAGGGTTTTGAAAAGGTCTCAAGAAGAACTATAAGAATGTGCAATAAAAAACAAGGGTTTTCATTAAAAAAAATTAAGTTGATTTAACCTTGAAATAATCTTGAAAACCGTCACCTACAAATATTCCTATAACATCAACTTACGTCCCCCTTGAAATACTGCAACTTTTATTTGAAACATTTTTCTCTAGAAACAATATTTTTGGAGATAAAAATTCGTCACGCTTTATTTTGTCCAACCTGTAAAAATACTGTAAGAAAAAATTATTTCTATTATTACGATGCGTAAGAATATTCAATGCTAGCGGGGGAGGGCTCACGCACATTACCAAGCGCGCGGCTCATTGACCGGCTAAAAGTCGGCGCTGATTGGCCCGACTTTACTCAATAATAACTCCTTTATTAAGCGTTATAAAAGAAATAATTAAGGTTTTTTCGACTCGGTTTTTAGAATAACGCTATGTACTTAGTGGGCGCACATAATCGCCGTTTGAATTGAGGTACTTGTAACGTGGTACTGTACTTTGATGAGAGCAAAAGCTTGTGCCATGCTATAACAAATGCTGCAATTCCGGATGGCGATTACGTGAAAAAGTAGTGTACATATGTATGTAACTTTTGCGTATAATAAAATGTTTTTTGTTTTATTTTGCAAGCCTATGAGAAATTGATTTCTGGATAGAGCCCTCGCATTTCCAAACAATGTTAATAAATAGGCAAAACTGATTGATATAGCCTTAATTGATTTTGAGAACAATATAACAGTAATCAAACGTCGAAGCGATTTATTTTAATCATGGATGGACTATTAAATAATAGGATGCAAAACAATTAGTTAATAAGCAGTTATGTAACTCAATATCCTTTTTATGAAAGATATATTTTTAAAAATTCTATTATTTTTTTATTTACACATTTTACAAACTAATCACAAAAATATTGATAAAAACTTGCCATATTTATGTTCAACTTAATTGAAACGATAGAAATGTAATAAGATATTAAACTTGTGTATGTTAATGCAGCAGATTCATTTCATAGTTAAGATTAGCGTAATCTTGGATGGATAAAAAGAATCTGCATATGTCGCTCGATACATAGAGAGCATATTCGCTGCTATGCAAGTACAACAAAAATAAAGTATAGAATAATATTATCTCGTAATGAGAAAAGTTTTATCCCAATCTAAATAACTACCATCGAGTAAAACTATAGAGTAAATAATCCATTTAATACTGTATAGATTCACCAAGTGTATGAGTGCAGAGTAATGCTTCGTACGATGCACTGAAAGATATTGAAAGTCTTTTCATTATCGAGATAAGAAAGTCATAACTGCGTTTGCGCAAAAATATGCATTAAAAATATATTGCTCTCACAAATTGAGGTAATTTGGACTAATTTACTTTCATCTATATCAAGAAAACATTACTCAATTATTGGAATATAGCCGTCTTTACAATAACTATCGGCGCGCGAATATATCGATCGTTAAAAATTGACGGAGAATGTCGCAAGAAATAATTCGAGATTTCAAAGGTTCGTCTCATAGTTACATCGCAGTTCTCGTAAAATGTATACGACAGAAGAACGCTATTACAAAATCAGTCGAGTACTTCTTAAGACTCTTGGTTTATGGCCTTATCAGCAATCATATTTCTCGCGAATACATAAACTACTGTTTGCCAGCCTTCTTTTAACATTTATTTTTGTCCAGGTACATATGTCGAGTCATACAACTTTCAAACTTTCTAATTTTCAAACAACGTAGTTATAGAATAGTGTATCTTAATCACGCGCATTGAGATAAACATATCTTTTTTTATCTTTTCTAATCCGCTATTATATACATATATTTATATATTTATATAATTATATAATTTGTTATGTATTAATGATGATAATTATACATAAATTTATATAAGAATCTTTTAAGTTTTAGCTTGAATTATCTTTTTTGTCTTTCATGATATAATGTTTAAAACAAGTTTCGTTTTATATAGCTTATGTTCAGGTATTACACTAAATACTTACAATCATCCATCTTATATATATACCAGACAATCAATCCTAAAGATGTTGTTTTCTCTCAGTTGTTGGTATTCGTTACAACGCAGTACAATACGAATCTTCTCCTCAAGATTCTTTCAACTATCTTCCCTATTCTTTTCGTCACTATAAAGTATTGTTTTCTTATCATTCAACCGGATAGTGTAAGTTTAATAGGACAGATGCTTTATTCAAATGTTTCGTTATAACATTTATAAAAGAGATTGTATTTCGACTATTGAACCGAGGGGAATATGGAATGAACAGGTAAAGAAAATGTTAGAACAAATGCGAGATGATTGGAGATTATTGAAAAATAAGTTGGAAGTTGACATTATAGAAAAATACGCTTATAACATACAGTTTTCTTCAATAATTTCAATAGGTAGGAATATGAAATATTATTATTATATATTATATTCTATGATAAAAAATATATATATTATTATACATTTAATTAGCTAATCTCTTTTTATTTTATGCGATAAATCATATCGGGGTTGAGCCAGAGAACGCATCTAAAACATTTTTCTATTTAATTTATTATAATTGGATTCAAACCAGATCTAACATTTTTTTCAGTGATTGGTTTACTTTGTATGTTTTTGCTCACAATACTTCAATGTTTGCCATTAATTCTTGATATTATATTACCATTGAACGAATCACGGCCCTGTCAACTATTTGTGATCACAGAATATTTTATTAATCAAGAAAAATATATTTATATTCCATTGTTACACGAGGTATTAGCATGTAGCATAGGATTAATCACGTTGTATATATTTATTTAAATAAATTAATATAGTTATCGAATAGAGAATGCTATCGAGAAAAGTGCGTTAGTGATTCCCATTTTTGGAAGACAGAATCTGTTTTGTCAGAGGATTATATATGCGATTCTTATTCATCGAAGGGCAATCGAGTGAGTATATTTTTACATTTTTGTAACAACACACGTTCTTTTTGTATCTTATTTTTTTGTTTATTAAAAAGTAGTGATTGATTTTGAAATCTTACCTTTATCGTATATTTTTGTACGATTAATTGCATCTCTTCGATATATGTACGAAAATAAATGAAATTTACGGAATAAATTGATTAAAATTTTAAATCAATTTTGCCATTAATTCTTGATATTATATTACCATTGAACGAATCACGGCCCTGTCAACTATTTGTGATCACAGAATATTTTATTAATCAAGAAAAATATATTTATATTCCATTGTTACACGAGGTATTAGCATGTAGCATAGGATTAATCACGTTGTATGGTTCATCTATAACATTTATGACATACGTATGGCATGCATGTGCACTACTTAAAATTGTAAGGTAAGCAATTACTTTTTAAATACACATTGTCTTAAAGCGAAAATATATTTGATTAAATCAATTATAATCAAGAATTAAGTGTGTTTGTTACAGAAAAATGCTTGCTTATTTATAATTTTCATATAATCTATGATTTATAATTTGTTTTCAAAATCACATGTAAGTTTAACAATATGATATTTTTATAAAATTTAGAATTTCTGGCAACTATTATCGATTAGATTATATTTATATACATTGCTCGTATAAGAGCATGGGAGGGATGGGAGTGGGGGTGGGGGGGGAGAGAGAGTTATTTTTACTGAATATGTGACAAAGCATATTTATATCGATAATTTTATAGTTTCAATATCTAGTTCCTCGTTAAAGGTATATCAATCTTCTTATATCTAATTTTGCGACATTATTCGCCATTCTGATTATTGTTGGTGTCAGCTCTTTAAGTTTATGTCTTTTTCAAGTAAGCAATATAATTTCTTATTTATTTTGCTTAACTGACTTCTTTTTAAGTAGCATTTTGTCGTAGTTTCTTCAATTGATAACATTAACGAATAATATCACAGAGATATTGATATTTGCTTTCTTGATTTGTATTCATTTGGCTTATATGTTCTTCGCTAATTATGCGGGACAAATATTAACAGATCATGGAATAAAGTTGTTCCAAGCAATGTGAGTATCGCGTTTTACAATACTTTTAGAGCTACATTTATACAGATATCGATTCTCATATAGATAGATTTCTTGAATATGATTTGAATCGATTATACATACTTTTCGAATACTTTCAAACATGAAATTAATTTAATATTAATTAATTATATCGAAAAACTGTATTTAGTGCACTTTCTTGCTAGTTAACAATATATTTTGGTTTAACGTTAAAAAATTGCAGTTATAATGGAATGTGGTATGCAGCACCATTGTACACGCAGAAAATGTTATTATTTATGATGCAAAAAGGAACGGTAAATATCAGGTTAGGATATGATTGCATATTTGCTGCTTCCTTGGAAGGTTTTACTATGGTAAAATTAAAAGTTATTTAAAAACAAAATATAATGTTGATTTAACGTACTTCTGGAATTGGCGAACAGTTTAATGTATGTGCTTTTTCAGCTTGTAAATGCGGCAGTATCCTACTTTCTAATGATTTATTCTACGCGACAATAGCAAACTAGAAAGAATAATTTATTATTTGTCGGATACTTTAAATTAACATAATAGTGCGCAAAAAATTAATATACAGATATATATGCATTACTAATTTCTGGAATTGTATGTACTATACATATAAATATATATTCTTTCATTCTTAATACGAGGACTGTTTGAAAATCAACCTCAGGTTAGCTTGCAAAATAAAATAAGAAACAAAAAAAACATTTTATTATACACAAAAATTATTTACATATATGCACCACTTTTCGACATAATCGCCATTCGAATTGAGGCTCCTTGTAGCGTGGTATCGTACTTTGATGAGAGCAAAAGCTTGTGCCGCGCTATTGACAAATGCTTCAATTTGAATAGAGATTATGTGAAAAATTAGTGTACATATGTAAGTAACTTTTATGTATAATAAAATTTTTTTTTGTTTTTTGTTTTAGTTTGCAAGGCTACCGAAATTTAATTTCTGGATAGAGCCCTCGCATTTTCAAACAATGTTAATAAATAGGCGAAATTGTAAAGAGATTGATAGAGGCCTAATCGAGTTTGAGAACGATAATCAAACATCGAAGTGGTTTATTTTAATCATGGATGAGCTATTAAATATAATATGCAATTAAAAATAATAAGACACAAAACAATTAATTAATAAGTAGTTCTGTAACTTAATATCTTTTTTATTAAACATATATTTTTTTTAATTCTATTTAATTATTTTTTTCATTTACATATTACCCAAGCTAATTATAAAAATATTGATAAAAACTTGCTAAATTTATGTTAAAATTTAATTGGAACGATAGGAATGTAATAAGATGTTGAACTCGTGTATGTTAATGCAGTAGATCCGTTTCATAGATAAGATCAGCATAATCTTGGATGGATAAGAAGAATCTGTATACGTCGTTTGATATATCATAGAGCATATTTGCTGCCATGCAAGTGCATCAAAAATAATGTATAAAATAATATTATCTCTTAATGAGAAAAGTTTTATTTCAATATAAATAACTACCGTCGAGTAAAATTAATTACTATTAGCTACTTATAGAAGCGCAGTGTCATATATATCTACTTACTTTTTTTTTGCGATAAATAAAGTTGAAAATTGCATAAAAAACATTGCTTTTTAAAATATATACTATAGTTTACATTTGTATCAATGATAAGCATCAATATGTCTGACAGTACAAAATATATATTAAAGAAAAAAAATGTACTTAATTTTATTTTTGTATTATAGAGAGAAAAGAATTTTGATTTTTTTACGTCAACATTTTGTACTCTCCTAAAATCATATGTGCATACTGAATCATTATTGTACACTTTGTTAGAGCGGCACAATCTTTTATAAATGTTGTAATACGCATATATACATATTAAATGGACCGAGCGCGAACTCATTTGCACTGCGCGAAAATTTTTATATCACCATTTTTGTTTGATTTCCTTAAATGTACAATGAAAAAATGAAATATTCTAGATTATAGATTATATATAATAACGAATATATCCGCAGAGTTTCGTATTTTTCTTAATATATAATTCAATCGATATTGTATAGATCCACCAAGTATATATGAGTGAGTAATGCTTCGTACGATGCACTGAAAGATACTGAAAGGCTTTCCTCTATCAAGATGAAAAAAGTCACAACTGCGTTTGCGCAAAAATATGCGTTAAAAATATATTGTTTTCACAAATTGAGGTAATTTGAACTAATTTGCTTTCATCTATATCAAGAAAACATTACTCAATTGTTAGAATATAGCCGTCTTTACAATAACAACCGGCGCGCGAAGATATCGATCGTTGAAAATTGATGGAGAACGTCGCAAAAAATAATTCGAGAATTCAAAGGTTCGTCACAGTTACATTGCAGTTCTCGTAAAATGCACACGACAGAAGAACGCTATTACAAAATCAATCGAATACTTCTAAAGATTCTTGGTTTATGGCCTTATCAGCAATCATATTTCTCGCGAATACATAAAACGCTGTTTGTCGGCCTTCTCTTAACATTTATTCTTGTCCAGGTATACGTCGAGCCATGCAACTTTTATATTTTTAAACAATGTAAATTATGTAAGAGTGTATCTTAATTTCGCGCATTGAGATAAACACTCTCTTTATCTTTTTCAATCTACTAGTATATACATACATGATAATTTCAGAATGTTTCAGAATTATTTTTCTCGTTTTTTATGATATAATATTTAAAATAAGTTTCGCCTTATGTAAATTATGTTTAGATCTTACGTAAAAATAATTTACAACCACACATATCTTATATATATA